GCGGTGGGAGGGGGAGAGGGGGCGGAAAGGGCAAGCAGGAGCAGAGGCAGGAGGGGAGCCCCGAGAGACGAAGGCGGGGGACGCCACGACGCGGCCGAGCCCACGACCGACGACGGCGGTGACCGAGCGAGCCCCGCGACCCATGAGGAGGAGGAGGAGGAGGAGGAGGAGGAGGAGGAGGAGGAGGAGGAGGAGGAGGAGGAGGAGGAGGAGGAGGAGGAGGAGGAGGAGGAGGAGGAGGAGGGGAGGAGAGGAGGAGGAGGAGGAGGAGGATGAGGAGGAGGAGGAGGATCAGGAGGAGGAGGAGGAGGAGGAGGAGGAGGAGGAGGAGGAGGAGGAGGAGGAGGAGGAGGAGGAGGAGGAGGAGAAGGAGGACAAAAGGACCGACGAACCACCGCGGAGGGGAGCGCCGCCAGGGGTGGCGGGCACGCCGCACCATCACAGACAAAAAACATAACGCCACAGGGCCGAAGGCCGGAAGTGGCAGAAGCAAGGCTGGGTAAGGAGGAGGAGGAAGATTGGTACTGCGAGAGTTGGTTAGGTGCCGCGCACACCCAGCGCCCTTCCCATTACTGCGAGAGTTGATCAGGTGCCGCGTACACCGGGGTGACGAATGCCGCCCTCCACGCATCCTGCCCCCAATCCAACCCCAACTGTCCTCTCACCCGCTTTCATGGTAATGCAAGAGTTGAGTAGGCGCTGCAACACCGCGCGGCTTTCTTCCTCAGAAGGAAAGTGGCAAAGATACACGTGAAAGTGAAACGTGCGCTGGCACCGCTATGGATGCTAGCCAGGAGTGGAGGAAAGTCCGAAGAGGAGACAGAGAAACAGAAGCGTACCACGCCGGCCGCGATCGCCAGGCATGCACGCAAAAGAGGCTCCCCCTCCCCGCGGTGGGGACGAGCCAAAAGGACGGGGAGGAGGGGATCGACGACCCACCGCGGAGGGGAGCGCCGTCTGGGGTGGCGGGAACGCCGCGCCACGTCCAGCAGAAAACAGAGCGCCAAGGGGCCGAAGGCCAGGTGGCGGCGACAAGGATCGTGAAACAACACCAGGACAGAGGGGGGAGGGGCAGTGCACCTGAGCCGACAGGTCGGTTGCCTCTCGTGTGCTGGCAGGGAGTACAGGCAGTCAATCACGACCTGTCTAGGGACCATTTCTGGGCGAGCTCGCCCCTTCCCTTGGGTTCTGTGCTCCCAGGTGAAGTGATCCCAGTGTTCACGAGTCCACGGGGAGTCAGTCCCCGCCTCCTGGACCATCCGCCACAGGTCACCTTGCCCTGGCCGGGCGATGCGGGGTCTGTCATGCTGGACAGATGGGCCACACGAGATTGGCGGGACACGCGTGCCAGTCGATTGCAGCCCGTGCGCTGGCAGGGAGTGCAAGATGTCGGTCGCGACCTGTCTGGTGACAATTTCTGGGCGAGCTCGCCCTTTCCCTTGGGGTCTGTAATCCGAGGTGAAGTGACCCCAGTGTTCGCGTGTCCACGGGGAGTCAGCCCACGCCTCTTTGACCATCTACCATAAGGTTAGTTTCCATTAGCCGGGACATGCAAGGTCTGTCCCCAGACGGTGCTTCCGCGGCGGGCGCGTGGGTCATTATTTGTGGAGGATCGGCGGGAGGCGCGGGTCCGTCGTGCGCCGCTGCCTCTGCCGCCCGCAGCGGCGGCTGCCAGTCTGCTGTCCACGACGTAGTCGACGAGACAGCCGGCGCGCGAGACTACTGGGCCTCCGTTCGCGCGCCGGCGTCGCTCGCAGCTGTGCTGTCCGAGCGCGGCGGGTGACCGTGTGCGCCCGGGCCCGCTGGGAGCAGGCCATTGCCTGCAGCGTGGGGAGGAAACCCGCGAACCACTCCAGGAGGGTAGCCAGGTGGACGAGGCCTGGCGGTGCGGCCTGTCGACCTCTGGGGTCTTGCGCCCGCCTTCCGAGCTCGCGCCGGCAGCTGGCGGACAGGTGCCATGCTCTGCCGTTTGGTGCCGCGTTCCCCGACTTCGCCGGGTGGCGTTCCGCCAGAAGCACCCCCGAATGAATCTGTAGGAGGTGCATCGCCAGCCAGGTGGTCGGCTGGGGCCGACTGCCAGTGCAGCGTGCAGGTCTTGCCGCAGCATTGCGCGGGCTCTCGTCGTCTGCGCTGTCTTGATCTGGCGTCAGGGGCTGGAGAGGTGCGAAACGGCCCTGCGCGAACAGGCGGCGCAGGGCGAGCTCGTCTTTTTCGTCGTGTGCTGGCCTATCCCTTGTAATTGGCGTGCTCGTCTTTTCGCTCTCGCCGTCGGTGACGCGCGTGCCCCCCTCCGCTTTCTCGCAGATCGTCGGAGAGGTCTAGGGTCTGCCAGCGGGCTCCCCAGGGGCCTCCCGGCGTCCCGATTGGTTTGGATCCTCGATTCGGCCGGGCTCAGTAATTGGAATGGGATTGGGACTGGTAACGCCGCCGCCCCCCCCCATCGGCGATCTCTTCCATCGGCCCGGCACTTCCATCACTGACGCTCTTCTCTGTGATGCTC